CTAGTGTGCGCCCATTTTAAGGCTAAATGTTCTCCATGGCACATCATTCTAAAGAGAAAATTATGCTCTACATAGTGGACTACTTTTTATTGTAGCTTCTTTTCAGGAAAGGATAAAATATAAGTGATTTTCAACGAATGCCGGCAATTTTGGACAAAATGCGAATTTGTCCTCTACTTTTCAACCAATTTCAATTTTCAATACATCATTACCAAGAGCGTCAAAAACTACACCAGGGATACTTTTCTGGCAGTTATTCCGTCCTAAAAAGTTGAGTTGGTCAAATCTTATGTGCATATCGAGAATGGCATAAAGTTTCTGTAAACACTCTAGATTTGTATGAAATGACTTGCTTTACAAAACTGTGATATTTGAAATCCAAATTATGTTCATTCTCATGAGCTACACACAATTATTTCGTCATGAGAAGTTGGAATGACAATTTACCGTTAACTTCAACAAGAAACGGGGTTCAGATTTCATCAAATAAAGAAGTGTAAGATGAAATGTGATATAGCGGTTTGCTTCAAATTTTACGTCCTTTCAACTGACAGACGGTGTAAAAAAATATATCTTTTATTTGACGAAATCTGAACCCTGTTTCTTATTGAAGTTAACGGTAAATTGTCATTCCAACTTCTCATGACGAAATAATTGTGTGTAGCTCATGAGAACGAACATAATTTGGATTTCAAATATCACAGTTTTGTAGAGCAAGTCATTTCATACAAATCTAGAGTGTTTACAGAAACTTTATGTCATTCTCGATGTGCAAATGAGAGAATATAAGAAGGTCTGTGCTCGATTGGTGAACATAAGATTTGACCAACTCAACTTTTTAGGATGGAATAACTGTCAGAAAAGTATCCCTGGCGTAGTTTTTGACGCTCTTTCTAATGATGTATTGAAAATTGAAATTGGTTGAAAATTAGAGGAGAAATTCGTATTTTGTCCAAAATTTCCGGCATCCTTTGAAAATCACTTATATTTGATCCTTTCCTGGAAAGAAGCTACAATAAAACGTAGTGCACTATGTAGAGCATAACTTTCTCTTTAGAATGATGTACCATAAAGAACATTTAGCCTTAAAATGGGCGCACACTAGATCGTAAACAATGAGTGGTTGATCAATTTTGGAACAGTTCAAAGAAGGATGCTGTGATTATGTTGACAATGGCAACGGAATACATCGACAGATTGACTTGAAATTTTGTATCTATATACTAGAGACTATGAGGTACAACGTGGCAAAAAAACAAGACCATTCTAGTTTATTCAGCTTTTGAGAGATGAACAAAACAAAAAAATTCACTGAGTTGGTTGATCAATTTTGGTATTCACTGTATATATATTCGTATGATGAAAAGAAGACCCTATTCCATGAATGAGTGGAAATTACTGCAACTTCCTGGTAATTTTTATTTATTCTTGGAGTAGAGTCTCCTTTTCATCATTTGAATATATAAATATTCATATAATATATTGGGGAAAATTTTGGAAATTACCGAAGTTTCCTGGTAATTTTCCTATAGGTTGATTGTGGTTGATATTGATGGATTACTTCGGTGCGATGAAAAATTCCACTATTGAGGAAATTTACTTTTATGGAAGGGTGTGGGTGTGGGAGTGAGTACAGCAATAAAGATCATCCACATCCACAATAACGTGTATTGTTTCCTTATTTGACAATAGATCAAAATTGTTTAATGTAATCAAAGAAAGTGCTTGGAAGTAGTTATTGTTTACATTATTGATCTAATACTAAAAAACAGTTGAAATAAACTTCTATCCCGAATTATAGAATCAGTTGATTTGAACAAATCGAAGGAGAAATAATGCAAGTTTTGATTCTTTGTCTTATTTATGTCCTATCCTGTGTTCGTTCATGTGATAATTTTTCGTCACAACATAAAAAAAACAAAGTCTGATTTTGTACAAAATTACATCGAATATTTATTTTCAAGTGTTCATTGGCGTTGTTGGAGAGTTGCCAGCAACGATCGGTTGTTGTTGTCGTTTAACCATTTCTTGATTAATTAAATTTTCTTGTACATATGTTGGTAAGGCTGGATTGAGAGTTAACATAAAAGGTAACATTGTTTTTGGTGTTTCATTAAGTGCAATAATAATTTTAATATAAATAGTATCTTCTCGAACATATCCATTATCATCTTGTAATAACATTGGTAATGGAAAAAATTTTGGTATACCACTTGCTATATTAGCTTCATCTTTTGGACGTTGAAATGAACTTGATTTAACATCAGGATAAAATGAATCAATTATATGACGATTATTACCTGTTTGATCAAGCAAACAGAAGGTTACTTTAAAATGAAATGGCCATTTAAGTACAGCATCATATTCGCCTTTCATTAGTGAAAAGAATAAAGACACATGGGTACGTCTTGCGTTTCCATCGCCAAATAAAAAAAGTCTTGCACGCATTTTATAACCTGTTGGAGATGAATAAAATATTGGAGATGATATACTTGTTTGTCTTTCTGATTGTGCATCAGCTATTTTTTCTGAAACATGCTCAACACGCCATGTTAATGTACCATCAGTTGATACATGTTCATTATTAAGACATCTTTCATGTAATTGTTCAATATCTTTTTGTAATTTTTCTTGATGCGGTTGTATACTTTGTTTAATTGGTATTTTTTCATTAATGGCTACATGAAAATTATTTAATTCTTGTATTAATGTATTTAGACGTTCATTTAAATTCATATAATCATTATTTAATTTTACTGATTCATTGCTTACTTCTCGAATATTTTTTGATAAATTATTGATTTTTTCTGACATTTGTTCTTCTAATTCTTTACTTATTGCATTTAATTCTAAGTCTTGCTCAGTATTTGATGATTCAGGAAAACGATATTCACGTAATAAAAATTTATTAAGAGTTTCTTGATGTTTTTCAGTTAATAGATGTTTTGAATAATCAGTTTTACGAATCTTAAATCAAACAAAAATAAAAAGATAAAATTATTTCCAAGAAAAATAAAACATTATTTTCTTTACCATTTCTTCAGTACAGAATTGTCCTAAAAGACATGATTGAAATATCATTGGACAAGTTTTCGTTATATGTTCATTAAGTATTGCCTGTGAACCAAAACGTTCATTACATTCCGAACAGACGTAATGAATATGACATTCATCAAGATGTGACTATAGCAAAAAATAAAAAGATATTCTAACAAATCTATATATATATAAGTCAAGGTAAATTTACATACTTGATAGGCTTTAAGTTGTCCTGTCCAATTACATTGTTTATCTTTTTTATACAAACAAGCAACTGAAATAATATCTAATTCTCTTTTGAATGCTCTATCAGGCATAATCTTCATAGAAAATCACAAACATAAGATTATTCAAAGACTTTATAGCAATATTTCATACTTGATTTTTATTTGTTGTTTCATGACAGTCACCCATTGGACATGTAACATTCTCATCAGTTACGGCTGCAACTCGAACATCAAAACAACCTCGACAACATCTATGGCCACATTCAGTTAGCTGAATAGGATCGTTAATAATAAATGAACAAAATATACATTTAAATCGTGAGTTAAACTTTTCAATGTCATCGACCTCATAGCCACATTTTGGATAGGGAGATATCGGAAGATTTGAATCAAATTCGTTTTTTAGCTGAGAATTATTTCTGTCAACCATTAACGGTTACTAGTTGTCAGGCATTTATATATATCTAAAACAAGATATTTTCATAAAGGTTAGTCTTCAAATGCTTTATTTAATAGAATAATGTTTTCATAAAAAATTTGAGAGATTTCATTTATAACCAGCTTGCTGCAATGCAAAATTGATCGAATAAAAGAATAGAATACATAATAAGCTCCTATATTCTGGTAGTTTCCTAAAAATAGTACACCTTGTGTCACAACGAGCGTTGTGTCACAGAATTTCGAATCATTATGGATGAATGTCAAGTGAATGACGTAGGTTATTCATCTAAATTGCGTAGGTATATGTCTCATTAAAAAAATATATTAAAAAATAATGTAAAATTTCCGTGAAATTCCGAACTAATGAACAGAATGAATTTGACAATGTTTCTATGATTCGTAGTTCCTAGGAAGTCAACAACAGGTTGTTTTTAACCTTTCATCGATACAGTCAATGCAAAAAGAAAAATTACAATTTTTCAATCATGTGAATTGAGATGAAGAAAAATATTATTATGTTTGAAAAAGATTAAAGAAACGTGATTAGCTTCTAATGATTTAAATTTAACTTGATTGGACCTTTTTTCGTCTCATAAACTTTGGCCAAGTATCATAATGCTATTGGATAAAGAAATGACGGATTTTTTCCACAACTCTACCATAAAGAGATAAAAAAAACAATTGAAAAATATTATATTCTTGGTGAATTCGGATTGGCTTATTACTCTTTTAATTTTGACGAAAATGTATAGTAATGACATCTATTGTTTTCAATGCGAAAATAGAAACTGACCGTATCGAGTAAAAACATACGATAATAACAAGAAAAGAATTTAAGATATAATAATAATAATAATATATCTTGAGAAAATGAAACTGAAAATTAACTTTGTGATAGATTATTTATGGGACTAATAGATTATTATTTTTTGAGTACATATCTTGGACGAGGTCTAGAGAAAATTCTATCAATTTAATTTGGGCTACAGTTAAACGTCTCCAACAATAGTTATCGATTTTTCAGTGAAAATTACCATGTATCCTACAACAATAAATAATGCAAAACTTTACGAGAAAAATTGAAAGTTTTTAAATGACTAAAATTTCTAGTTTCTGGGATGAAGTCAGAATATTGAACTAATTATCAAGCAAAAAATACTTGAAGAAAATGATAAGTTTACTCAATGGAATAACTTGACACTCGAAGCAGAAGAAGAGGTAGTAGGTTGAATATAGTTTGCATGTCTACTATTATTGAAAAAGAAACTTCAAAAGTAGAAAAAAGTATCACGCCCTTATATGCTACAAAACAAATATATCATAACAGTTAAAATATTTCAAAAAAGCACTAATACATTTTCTCAATCGTTTGCATACTATTCAAGGTATTGCTCAAGTAAAATTGTAAGGCTATGCATAGATCAGCGGTTACAGTGGTTGATTGACGTCTCTATTCTCAAAGCATCTTTAGTTTTTAAGGTACAATATCTGAGATCTTATCAAGTAACAGTACTTTGAATTAATATCTTTATGTGGCACGTTCATTTGCACTACCACTGGTGTGCTGACAGTAGAGTTCCGGTCCCAGAACAAGTATCTGTATACCGTAGTAGAATGGCAACTAGAGGATAGTCAACCATCATTTAAGTATCAAACTATTACCAGTATAATGCATAGTATACTGACGGCTTTTGCCCGGTTCTAATCATATAAGAGCAATATCTAATTATGGCTTCTTGTTGGACATACAACAATGTTGGTGCAGCATCATTTGGCTGATTACTAGTTCATTGGTGAAAGCCGTAACTACAAAATAAATTAACAGTGTTAAACAAATTTTGAGATTTGTTTCGATAAGAAATATCGTTACTTCTATCGGGTAATAGCCACAGATGAATATAGCTGAAACACACACGCAGAGTTTAATACACATAAAATTAGCATTTAAATATAAGTGTATCAGTATTAATTTGGATATGATAATATTTTCAATGCATCAAGGGAAAATTCCTAAAAGAAAACAAATAGGGAGAAAATTTTTCGTTAAACAGAAAAGGGAAGATATCTACGACCGTTTAACATAATAGAGAAATAAAATAATGTGTCATGAGAGAAATAAAACCACGGCATAGAAGAGAACGCACAAAAATGAAAGATACCAGCTATTGATTCAAATTATGTCCAGTACATGTTTTTATATTATTCACACGCTTACTAATTTTAATAATAAACCAGCTATTCTTACTATAGATTCATTCAAAAGACAATTAAAACTTCAAGATCGATCAATTGATAAAAAGCTAAGTATTCTTCCGTCACAGAGACAACTTTATATATGCAATAGTTGCAAGAAGTCTTAGTATTGGGTAAAAAATAAATAAGCTTCAACTGTTTTGCCTAATATTTTTCCTATAATGAGAGATTTGTTCACAAGCAGCAATCCGAAGTCGATAGATCTTAATGCAAAAGACTAACAATGAAAATATTGGTTTTATCCCTACCAGAGCTGCCACCAGGCCGACCTGCCAGGCCATCGGAAAATATGAAAGTCATATCTGAGTTGATCCGCTTACATTATATTGAAGTAGAGTAGAAAACTAGCTCAGACCAGTATTATTGACCCAATTCATCCTTTCTTTGTGTCAGAAATATATTTTATAATATGGGTTTTTACAGAAATTTGATGATAGATGCAAAGGTTTCTCACACAACGAAAAGATGAATTGGGCCAATTATGCTAGTCTGAGCTAGTCTCCTGTTCTACTTCAATATAATGTAAACAGATCAACTCAGATTTGAATTTCAAATTTTCCGATGGCCTGTCAGGCCAGCCTGGTGGCAGCTCTGATCCCTACAGTCCAAAAACCGTTTTTTTGACACTTTTCTAATTTTTCAGTATTTTAATGCGTTAACCGGCATTTTCTTATTATAAAATAAAGATTCTTATGTCCATATTGTACCACAGATAGAGTACTTCAATTTACTGTAACTCTAAAGGTGAGGGAAAGCTTCTACTATACACAATGATCTCAGTATGCATCACTTGCTCATTGATAGCTGCGATCATGAAATTTTGAGGGAAAAGTTCATTAAAGAAGGGCACTCACTATCAACATATTCTATTTGTGGTCAAACAATGAGACTAAAGAATTATAGTTTTGATACTTTGTACCTGATAATAGAACTTTTCGCAACTAGTATATATACAAAACAGCTGTGAAAATAACCGATTCTAGAAAGAAAAGAAAATAAAGGAAAATGCCTATAATTGTGACTAAGAATAGAGCGGTTGGAAAATTCCCCGAATGCAAAGAACAGGAAGGAGAAAATGTAAAGTAAAGCACAAATAAGAAAGAAACACTTGAAAAGGTATCATCCAATAGAAATTATTTTTTTCTACATAGAAAGCAAATGAATATTTTTTGTTTAGCCGATAAAACATTTTGAATATGGAAAAAGTGTTAGTTACTTAATCAACACAAATTTTGAACTGCTCTTAAGATCATCAGATTAAATACTATTAAAATATTAATCGACCTAACTCAAAGCTTAGTAAATTTCGCTGTGGCAAGCATAATATTTTAATTCTTTGAAGATCTAAATTTGTGTAAAGTTCATCACAAAACAGATTAGAATTGAAATGAACACCCTGCAAGAGTATGTTTATGTCTGATTCTATTTGACCTAATTTAAAATTCTTTTCTGATATTTTCAACGAAGATTTTTGACGGTAATGGTCTCTGCATCACTCTCGCGTAGTTTTTAGACACGGTGCATGTCTTTGATAAGAACTCATCTCGATGCACAACAATTAGAATAATAAAGTTTGCATTAATGCTATTAAAAAGTGGATAATTAAATATAAATATCATTTCTTGTTGTTATTATAGTATCTCTTATTCCCAACATTTTCCTTCTATATATTTTCTTTTATCTTTTTGTTCCATGCCTGATCACAAGTTATTTTTCCATTGTAATAACATTTTGTTTCTGATTATTTGAAACAAATATTTCAATAAATCAGTTGTTTTTTCTATGAAAAATATTTATGATAATTTCTTGCTTTGATTTAAATTTATTATTTTGTGTAAAAATATGTGATTATAATATTTGTATAAAAATTAATTCAGTAAATAACTGAAACTGCAGTGATTCATTCATAAAAGGTTATAGAGGCAAATGATTTTCAAAAATTAGAAATTATCGTTGGCATTGTCTGGTCTACAAGTGTTTGTAGGCTAATGTATTACTGTCAGCTTGCCTTGCAGATCAGACTGAAAAAAAAAACTAGTCTTTTTAGGAGTTCTGATGAAAATACATGCACTCGTATTGGACTCCAATAATATCTTAATCTTCACTCAGCAGAGTTTAGGATGCATATTATTTTAAACGAATTGCGTCTAAAAAAAAGTAATAATAATAATTCTTTGTTGAAGTCATAGTTCAGATAGATCACATATGTCAATCTTTTATTTACTTTATATAATTAAAACATCGACGGAAGCTATTATAATCGAAACGATAAGGTTAGAAATTGAAAATCTACTCTGATTTAATTTTTATAATAAACATTTAATAAGAAATAATGAAAAAAATAGTCATAAGATTCGTTCTACATAATAATAATTTTTCTTCCTATAATTAACAAACGCCAATGGATATATATGTTTTTTTTTCTATTATGAAAATGCTACAACATATGTATAACTAATGTCGGCGACAGAAGTAGATGGAGAAAACTCAAGGAGGAATATCTCCTGAACGAATGCAGCTAGCGACCTGCGATTTTCACCATTACAAAGAAAACACCCAGGGACATCCACACATGGTAAAATATAATTGGCCAGCAATGGACCAATCAGATGCATTCTCGATGGAAATGTTGAGCACGGTATTCTGGAGCTGTTTCTCAACTTTGCTCGATTGTTAATTTATGTTTTTGATAGAAA